AAGATACTCTCAAGGATTTTATTTCTGGCTTTATATCAGCTCATCCCTGTTCCATAGTTCATCAGATGCACTGCAGGAAGCAAAGACCTGTATTTTGAGATCTGCATTTTGTTTACAACTATCTTAAGCTCACAAGTTAAGAAAAATATTTACCTCTATCCCCTCTGCAGGGTCTAGGAAATCAACCTAGCATCTTATCTCCTATCAGAGACCTGTAGGCACCAGGCTCTGGAACTCAGTTGGCATTTTCCTTTGTTAGTCAACAATCACAGACCCTCAGTATTTACTTATCAGTTAGGGATGTCTCCGGACCTGAATTCCAGCAGACCTGAGTTTCCTGACACCTTTCCCTTCCCCCTGCCACCTTTCCCTTCCCCCCTTTGCCCGTTTGGTATATAACAGCTTCTGAGGAAATAAACTGGACGGCTTGATCAGAAATCCTGTCTTGCTGTCATTTCTTGTGTCTCCTGCCCCTCCATTCCTCTCCTCTCGGTTTATCAGGGACCACTGTTCGAATCCCACTGGCCGGGATAATGCATTGCCTCCATTTCTATTTTCTGTAAAGTTTCCTTCATGAATGTCTCAGGTTGGAACTATGGCTTAGTGGTTAAGCTCCTAGCACCAAAATGGTGGCTCACACCAATCTAACTCCAGCACCAGGTGTGTGCTATAGAATATTAAGATATGTCACATTTGTTCATGCTATGGGATATTTTCTAATGATGCAAAGGTATGTTGCATTCTTTTATGTTTCATTTGTTTAACTCTGTGAATCTGTGCTACTTTGCCTGTCTAAAACACCTGATAGGTCTAATAAAGAGTTGAACGGCAAATAGCAAGGCAGGAGAAAGGACTGGTAGGGCTGGTAGGTAGAGAGAATAAATAGGAGAAATCTGGGGGAAAAGATCAAGCAAAGAGATCAAGGAGTAAGAAAAGAAGGAGCCAGCCACCCAGTCACTCACTCGGCCATGGAGTAAAAGTGAAAGTAAGATTACAGAGGTAAGAAAAGGAAAAGGCCAGAGGCAAAAAATAGGTGGGATAATTTTTAAAAAGCTGGACTAGAAACAAGGCAAGCTAAGGCCAGGCATTTATAAGTAAGAATAAGCCTGTGTGTGATGTATATGGGAGCTGGGCAGTAGGCTCCCAAAGAACCAAGAGTAAAGAGAAAAAAAAAAAAAAACAACCCACCAACAACAGGCATGAACATGGTGGACAGAGACATACATGAAGGCAAAAAAAAAAATCTCCAAACACATGGTTTTGAAACTGCTGGATGGAACTTGTAGAGAAGCTCCCTGGGTATGGAGTTTCCTGTAGGAAGGCTTTAAACCATAAACTGAGTTTCTTCACAATGTGTAGGACTATTCCAGGTAACTTTCTCATTTCTTGGAGTTGGAGATGGAACCCAGAACTAACTGCTCTACAACCAAACCACATCCCTAAGCACATCTATTGTTTTTGACTGAGCTTTGCTAATTTGTTTTTGGGAATTCATTTATTTTGTCTAAATTATTAAACTTATGGGCATAAAGTTAACCAGTTAATCATTTTTTTATTATCTTCCTAGTATCTATAGAACACATGACTATACCTTTCAATTTCATTCCTGGTAAGGATAATCTTGTGTGTTTTACCAAACATTTTTTAACATTATCATTTAATGTCATAAATTCCTTCAAAATACTAGTCCACACATACTAATACTGTTTAAATATATATTTTATAAAAGTATATTGCAGAGCTAGGAGAGTGGGTCAGTGGTAGAGTATTTGCCTGGTACACAAGAAAACCCGGGGGTTCAATACTCCGTCAGTCTGTCTGTTATCTGTGTCTGTTTTTCTCATAAACACATACTTAGTTCTCTTCTTTAAAAGAAACTAATTCCCTTTAAGTATATTATTTAATTTCTAATGTTTGAATATTTCTGTTGGAGTGGTATTTTTGTTTGTTGGTGTTAGAAATGGCTTACTATGCTGTGAGCTGGCCTTGAACTCCTGGGCTCAAGAAATCCTCTCTGTCTCCCAACAACTTGGGGCTACAAGACTGTGTCACCATTCTCAATTTATTTCTGTTGTCTATTTTACCAAAATTCTATTATGGTTAAAAAGTGTACTTTCTATCATTTCAAGATTTAGTTACAGAGCACTTTTATAGCCTAAACTACAATCTATATAAACAAAAATAAATTTAATATTTTAAAGGAATTTACATTATGTAACTACTTGATGAAATATCCCATACTTCTCAAAGGCAATCTTATATTGTTCATGTCTTTCTATATCATTATTGATTTACCATGTCTTTTGTAAAAATATATAAGCAGGAATACTGAAGTCTAACTAAATTATGATTTGTACTTTTTCTTTCAGTGTTTTTTAAAGTTTTTATAGCTATAAGATTGCTATGTCTCCTTTAATGAAATAACTCAATTATCCTTAAGAATTGTCTCTTTTTTTGTATATAATATTTCAAGCCCTGAAATCTTTGACTTTAATTCAGCTAACCTAGCCTTCTTTTGATCAACATCCTTTTAATTTTTTTCCAATAGTATCTTTAAAGTGGGTTTTTTATAATGATGTACACATTTGGTCTTAATATATGAGACCAACTCTCAACTTCTTTTATTTGAGGTCCTTGAACTACTTTACTGTTCAATACACATATGTATAGGCTAGATTTCCAACTACCAGCTGTATATTCAAATCCAATTTGTCTGGACTGCAGAGCTGACTCAGTGAGTAAAGTCTTCAGTTCAAATCTCGAGAACACGCACAAAACAGGACAACAGCACATCGACAATCCCAGTGCACCCACAGCAAGGTGGAAGGCGGAGACAGGGCCACCTAGTCTGGGCTACATAATGACAACGGTCAATAGAATCTGTCTCAAACAAGTTGAAAGGTGAACCTGATACCAAAGATTGTCCTCTGAGCTCCAGAGTGTATCAGCATGTACTCACAAAATCTTTTTCCTTAATTCTGTCTCATCACTTGTTTTTCTTCTTGACTCTTTTGGATTGAGTATTTTTTATTTTATTTAACTCTTCTACTTGCATATAATCTAAACTTTTGTTTTCTGTGTTTTTACTGCTTATTCCAAAGCTTACATTATTTACACAGACATGTTTATACACTGTGTATTTAAGATATACTAGTTCACAGGCAGTCTATAAACTTTATGTAGATTTCCCTTCCATTATTTGTCTCAGTGAAGTCACTTTCATATCTGTTCTAAGAAACTGTATTTCAGTTATCTTTCGAAAAAGTTTAAAATATGAAGAATATGTGTATACCCATATACCTACCATTTACTCTTCATTCTGTTTTTGTAGTCCTGAGAGTTCATCTGATATACCTTCTGTATCAAAATCTCTTTTAAAAATCTCTTAGCATGTCTCTGCTAGTGACTTTCTTTTGATCTGTAAAGGTCTTTAAAAATGGATATTTAGATGTGCGGTAGCAGTGCACAGCATCAATTCCAATACTTGGAAGGCTGAGGTGGGTAGATCTCTCTGAGATCCAGGACAGTCAGTACTATGTAGAGAGATTATGTCTCAAAATAAATAAAAATTAATAATAGTAACAATAAGAAGTACAATGTTTGTGCTAAAGAACTGTAGACTGACATTTTCCTTCATTGCTTTAAAGATGCTCTGCCTCCAACCTGGAGGAAAACTATGCAGTTATTGCTTTCTTATGTAAAAAGTTATTTCTCCTCTAAACATCTTTAATATCATTCTCTTTATTAGTAGTCTTTAGTTATTTATGATGGGTCTTAGCAAGATTTTCTTTGTTTCTTTTATCTGGAGTCACTTCTTGATACCCTGAATTTATAGCTTTTGTGGTAAATAACTTCCAAATAATCTCCCAATGATTTCTGCTTCATGGTACTTGAGCCTTTATGTCAAAACTCACTCCCTACCATTTGGCTAAACTTATTGACTTGCTTTTATTAAAGTTTTTTTAAACTTTATTTTATGTACATGTATATCTCTGCACCAAATGCATGAAGTATCCACAGGGGCCAGACCAGGACATCAGATTTCCCCAGAACGGCAATTCTGAACTTCCATGAGACTATAGGTAAGGCTCCAACTTCTGTGAGTTGCCTGGTCATGCTGATTCATCACATCAATAGAACAGTAAAACAGGATTCTATAACATGTTTTGAGACACAGGGGGTGGCTGCTTTGGTTTCTTTAACAGAAAATTTCCTTCTACATTAACAAATAGCTCCCCCCCATTCTAATCTAATTAGATTTTTTTTTTCTTTTTTCCTTTTGAGGCAGGGTCTTAATCTGTAGCCCAAGCTGACCTGGACCTCACCATGTAGATGAGCCACCATGTACAGCTCAACTGGTTGATTACTCTTCTGACTTTGGAAAGCTCCTGATCCAAGATAGAATGTCATGGTCACCTAACAGAGACAATTTTACACACGCACAGGCACACACTATTCTATAAAAGAGACTGACACATCATTCTTTGGAAGAAAGTTTCCTATGGAGATAATCAAACACATAAAAATAACTCAAAATTAATTTTCTAAAAGTTCAGCACAGTGGTACACACCTTTAATTCCAGCATGAGACAGAAGAATCAAGAGAGAGCAACATGAGCTACCTGGTAAGACTGCTTCCAAAAGAGGAAAAAAATAAAAATAATAATGCTGCTGATGATGGATGAAAGCACAGGGATAGAAATAATTTGGAAAAATAAATATCTTTCTGGGGGATTCCAAAGAAAAGACTACTTGTTTTTGATTTTTGTGTTATACAAACATTTGGAAAAAAACAAGTTCAATAGTAACAGATAGAAATAAAATTTTACCAACAGCCTTCAAAATTATAATCCTTATAATCTGATAGAATAACAAAAATGGAACAGATAATACAAATAAATAAAGGTTTACTTAAAAATAAAAAAATAAACAAGACTCTTTTCTGTACCAGCAAGTCTCATTTCTGCTTTTTGTCCTTCCAGAGTCCTCCTGACACTTACCCTTTTCCAAGTAAGACCTTGGAGCCCACGGTGGGTCCTCTTCAGCATAAGGATCACTGTACTCAACCACAGCTGCTTCCTCCTCCTCATAATCTTCTGGAGGTGGTGGTGGAGGGGGGGACTCATCAAAGATTGGCTCTTCCACAGGTGGTGGTGGAGGTGGTGTATCTGTAACTAAGAATTTATCAAGCTGACAAACTATAAATTATGTAAAGTTTAATATTCATCTAAGCTTCTAGATTCATTAAGTATAAACCCAGACTCAAAAATAATCATCTTTCAAGAAATGAGTAAGAGAACTTTTCCCACCATTATGATATTTTAAGTTGCCAAGCATGACTTCTCCCTCCCTTTGTCTGAGTGCTGGTGTATGCTGAATGGGGTGTGGTCATTTATTTACTGTGAATTGGGCCTCCACAACCTTTAATCATCTTTCTAAAGAAATGAGACTATATATTTACTGTTCATTAGGCCTCCACAATCTTTTGGCTTTTATATCCTATTCAAGGAACTATCAGAGATATTTATAACTTGGATAGTCACAATCACCTAAGAAAGTAAAATGAGTCAAAGAAATAGTCAAATTTTTATATTCTACTACTTTGTTCTCAGTTTTCTGCATTTATACTCAGACAGATTCCCACTCTAACCCAAACTGGCCTGAAACTCACTGCCTGGCCCCGAGTACTGGAATTATAAGGATTCTCCACTCCAACAGTCTAATTTTCAGTACACAGAACTGTATCAAATTGAGGACGAAAATCACTAGTTTCGGATAACTTGGAGTCAATAAAACATTTTGTTTACTTATAGAATTTAAACTAATTCAGGTTTAGTCGTTATTTGAAATTTCTTGAGACTACATGTCCATATTATTAGAATCAGTCTCATCACATTGTAGCATTTAACAAACAAAAAAAAAATCATCTTCAAACCCAAAGAACTCTTGAAATTGCTGATACTTTGATAGGGGAGTTCAGCAATCACTTTCTGTTTGTGGGGCGTGTCGCCCTTAGGCTAAAGCTTGTCTATAAATCTGCAAGCGCTAGCTCTCTCGCCTGGCTTCTGCGTCCGGATGGATCGTTTGGATTCTGGTGTAAGCTGGCGTAAGTCTTAATTTTGTTTATTAAAGCTGTATATTTTGTATTAAGATAGTCTGGGGACTTTTCATTACCAATCGCCCTGCAGCTTCATCTGGCGCCCAATGTGGGGCTTGGGGCTACTCTGTAGAAGGAGCAGCGGGCTGCGTTCCTGCCATTTGGCTCCCGACTAGTTTACACCTGAAATAATTACACAGAAACTGTATTCTTTTAAACACTGCTTGGTCCATTAGCTGTAGCCTCTTATTGGCTAACTCTCACATCTTGATTAACCCATTTCTAATAATCTGTGTAGCACCACGAGGTGGTGGCTTACCGGGAGGATTCTAACCTGTGGCTGTCTTGGAGAGGAGAGTCATGGCGACTGCCTGCCTCTGCTTTCTTTCTCGCACAATTCTGCTCTGTCTACTCCGCCTATCTAAGCTGGTGTCCTATCAAAGGACAAGGCAGTTTCTTTACTACCAATGAAAGCAACACATAGACAGTTAGCCCTCCTCCATCAATACTTATTTGAACACAACAAAGCAAAATAAATTTATAATGACCAGCTACTCAGTTTTAATCATCAGCACTTACTCTTACTTATAAACTACCAAAACTGTATACATAAAATTCTCTGAACAATCAGTCATACCAACACCATCCTCTGATAGTTCAGTGTTCCTCCGTTTTGTACTTACCTACTTTATAAAGACTGTCTCATTAAAAAATCTTTACTCCTATTGGTTTAGGACTTTATTTTCTTGATGGTGGGGTAGCCTTACCATGTAGCCTAGGTTGACCTTGAACTTGTGTCTTATGTTTTAAGATTTTTAGGTTTTGGATTGGGGGGTTATTTTTAAATGTAAATCAAATTCATGCTCCTAATATAGCCTTTATTCAAATTTTCAAATTTAATGTTTTTCATATGACGGTGCGAAAACAACAGTGAAACTTGTGCACACTTATAAGAGACTGAGTACACAGAACAGAGATCCAAGGGACTTTTAGGAAAATCAGAAAAAATTATGCTATAAATTATTCAAAATACCAACTCCAATCATTTTTACCTTCTTTATAACCCTCAGAGCCAGATTGTTTGTATTTGTGCAGTATGCCAGTTATTCAGCTGGAACTGTAAAATATATTCTTTACTTAATTTTTCCCTTAATTTATTTTTACGTTTTTGGGATTCTAAGGCTCAATTCAAGATCCTTACACATCTGATGCAAGCACTCTAAACTACACCCCAAGCCAAGGTGTTGTTTTTAATCTTAATTTTGTGAAGGTGGAAAGAAGATTAATGTCCCTATAGCAATACACAGAAAAGCACCTGAGTACTTCCCTCTGCCTATTACCTTAGAAGCTACACTATACTTATAAAATAAAATTTGTAGTTTTTAAGTAATGCTTCATCATCACTAGGCAAATACCACCCAAGAGCCACATGTGACTAGGAATGAGTTTTGCACTAAGGAGAGTATGGTGGGCAAATGTCACCAAGAATATGGTGGACAGGTGTCACCAAAATATGAACAATCAAAGTTTGATCTATAACTAAGCAGAGTGAAGCGTTAAGAAATCACAGTGGTGTGCAGCAGAGAGCAGACTCTTCATGTGGGCAGAAAAGGTGAGTGGAGGTCATGTCTAAGAGGTAGCAGGGCATGGGGAATAGACATTCAAGTAAAGAATAAAAGTATTTTTTTTTCAAAATACATACATAAAGTAGGAAGGAAAGCTTCAGAGAATCATTCAAAGTTAGGCAGGCGGAGGAAGCCTAAATGGACTCAGCACAAAAGGGTTTGCTGAGTTTGGGCTCTACTCAATTGTGCTAATGTGGTCTTGTAACCTGTAAAGATTTGTCATTTATATTGTTTTAATAAAATTCTCATTGGCCAGTAGCCAGGTAGGAAATAAAGGCAAGGCAACCAGAATAGGAGAATTCTGGGAAGAGGAAAGGCTCAGTCTGCAGTTGTCACCCCGACACAGAAGAATCAAGATGAGAATGCCTCATGTGGCTAACACAAACAAGAATTATAGGTTACTGTAAGATGTAAGAATTAGTTAATAAGAAAGCCTGAGCTAATAGGTTAACCAGTTTATAATTAGTGTAGGCCTCTGTGTATTTCTTTAGGACTGAACAGCTGCAGGACTAGGTAGGACAGAAACCTCTGTCAACAAATGGCACCAATGTGGACAACTATATCCACATAAAACCTGAGCGAGTTTGAGAAGAAATTCTAGACACAGAAAGAACAAAGTTAAGCATGGCTTTTTGGTAGCAGCATTTTCTCAGATGGGCTCTGTTTGCTAGAGGCAAGCGCATCTTATTTAAGAGAGGCTTCCTGACTCAGCTTAAGCTGCAAAAACCTTGTAGCCCTTTTAAGCAGCTCTGTCACAAATACTTATATAGTGTTCATGAAAAGCCAACAGCATGCTTCTTGGTGGTGACAGGGACCGGGAAACTCCACAGAGTTGTGACAATAAACATGGCTCCTGCCAGTACCTCTGCCATGAAGCTAGATTCTCAGAAAGCTAATGGGGTGGAGCCAGTCATCAAAGCCATGGCTTCAATCCTAGCCATATTGCTTAGCAATGACTCATGTGGTCAGAAAATGAGAGATATACAGTAAGGATAGATTCAGACGAAGAAAACCTCTAAACGGTTTACAGCATATTTTAAAATATATGTAGGCTTGGGAGAGAAAAGAAAAAGAATAAGGTCTTTTTTTAAAAAAGAGAGTAGTTGGGTGTGGTGGCACACACCTTTAATCTCAGCACTTGGGAGGCAGAAGCAGGTGTATCTCAGTGAGTTCAAGGGCAGCCTGATCTACAGAGTGAGTTTCAGTACAGCCAAAGATGCACAGAGAAACCCCGTCTCCAAAAACCAAAAATTAAAAATAAAAATAAAGTTTAAAATAAAGCCACGTTAAGATAGAAAATACATAATCTGGATACTGTATATATTATTATGTTGTCTTTGAATTGTTTGATGGCTGAGGTAAAAGCGACAGCGGCTAAAAGACATTTGATTGTAAATGCTGCTGGATCAATCCAAAATATATTTTTTTGAAAATGCCTTGACTTCAAATTTTAAACCAAAAGATATGTTACTTCAGAGAAGAGGTTTTGCTTTTGTTTCCACAGGAAATCAGAGCCTGTGGATTCATTCTGGGTTAAGAAAAGTCAGGTTTGATCAAGAAAGATTCACTGAGAAATCTCCAATAAGAGCAGATGGCCCAGATGATCCAACATTTCAGAGGACCTCTGTTGGAGTTTCCTCTGACACATTAAGAACAGCCTCAAGACTGCTGGCTGAGATGACCAAGCCTCACAGAATATTTCAGTCAGGACTTGGTCATAATCCTAAACTTTCTTTAGGTCCCCATAAGATATCAGTGCCCCCAAACAGCAGGAAGTAGCCTGGAAAACTCACCCACATTCCCCAAAACTGTATTATGAATGTGTTTCTTTGTTTAGAGTGTTGGTTACAAATTGTTATGGATAATGGTCAGGAAGCAAAGGAGATTAGATTCAGAGTTTTTGTTTTAAAAAGAAAAAACTGTGTGTGGGGGGGGAGTGCTATGGGATAATGGTCTTGTACCCTGTAAAGATTTGTCATTTGTATTGTAGGATTCTTACTAACTAATTCTTACATCTTACATTAACCCATTGTTCTAGTCTGTGTTCACCACATGGCTTGGTGCCTTTATCAGTAAAACAGTCTCATCTTGCATCCTCTGCATCTAGGTGACGACTGCAGACTGAGCCTTTCCTCTTCCCAGAATTCTCCTGTTCTCACTGCCCTACATACACTTCCTGCCTGGTTGCCCCGCCTATACTTCCTGCCTAGCTACATGCCAATCAGTGTTTTATTAAAACAATACAAGTTACTTGTCCATGTTAATGACTAGTTTCATGATCCTACTTAACTTTCAAGTCCAATTCTTGAAGAAGAAGAAAAAAGAAAATATTCTGATAGATTATTAATCTTCAAAGCCAGTTTCAAAATCTGAATGTTCATCATGTCAGTTGATTCAAAAAAACAAACAAACCAACTTCCCACTTACTATTCAACTGACCGTCTTCTTTACTCAAGGAATTTAAACCCATCTGTGATGTAGGGAATGCCACTCTTACTGGGATGACACTGCAACTAAACTGTAAGTCCTTCAAATCTGGAACTCCAAAATGCCTTTTCTAATCAGTCTGCTATTTCCAGAAATTTTAAATGCAGGATCTTCCAACCTACATTTAACCTCAAAGCCTGTACTTGGCACACACTAGACCACCTGACCATTGCTATGTGAACATTTCTCCTGAAGCCAGCATGGGTCACACACAAGCCAAAAGAACAGTAGGTTGAAAAGGCATAATTTTAAAACATAAAAAAAATAAAATATTTGGACATACATGAAAACGTTATTAAATTTAAGAAAACATATTTAAAGTTACAATGCATTAAAGTTCACAGATATTCATAGAGTACCTTCTAATAAACAGAGATAATAAACAAACTATTTTTAGATATCAGCAAATAGGAGAGCAAAGGCACCTGACAAATTTAACCCTTGGGCCCTATCCCAGGCTAGTTTTCTGTCAACTTAGCACAGACGGTTATTTTGGAAGAAGGAACATCAATAGAGAAAATGTTCCCACCAGACTTGTCTGGGGCAAGTCTGTGATACATTTTCTTTTTCATTTATGATTGATGTGGGAGGCCCAGCCGAGTACGGGTGATGGTCAAGAGTACTCTAAGAAAGCAGGCTGAGCAAGCCATGAAGAGCAGGCATCTGCATCAGCTCCTGCCTCCAAGTTCCTGCCCTGCTTGGTTCCAGCCCTGAGGTCCTTCAGTGATGGGCTGACAGCTGGAAGTAAAAACAAAACAAACCCTTTCCTCCCCAAGTTGCTTTTGTTCATGGTGTTTTATCACAGCAACAGAAACCCTAACTTAGATGGGCACTAAGACTAGACTACAACCAGTTAAAATACAAACATAAAATACAAAAAAGGGGGAGGGGGAGGCCAAAGTGCCTGCTGCCGGCCAGACACTTTTTAAGTGCCAGGGACACAGTCAGCAAACAAAGTGATCAAAGCTCCTGCTCCAATAGACCCTGCATTATTAAATGCCTACTTCCAGAGAATCCTAGCAAGAGATTATAATTACTTCTAGTTCAGGAATTGTATCATCCTTTGTATGAAAGGTGCACAGTGGACAACTACAGCCTGATGATATATCTTAATATACATTTTGACCCTTGAACAAAGCACAGATTATACCACCTCTCCCCACAATTACCATAAGTCAGAAATACCTTTAACTTCTGACTCTCCAGAAACCTATTAATAAAACCTGCTACTGACAGAAAGCCTTAAAGTCAATTAACACTTACTCTGTCAAATGTATTATATACAGTAAAAAATTATGAGAGATCACAATTAATCACTCTCAACACCAAACCACCCAGTGGTAGAAATTAGTCCTAGGGCCTTTGCACATTAGTCAAGTACTCTACCAAACCAGCTGCACCCCACCCTCAGGAGAACACTTTTTACCTTAACAGACAATTTACTGGGAATGCAAGGATAATTAGCCTAACTCTCTATTCTAAGCAGATCTGCAACATGAGTTCACAACAGTACTGGAAGATGACGAAGTGTTAGAGAAAAAAAAAAAAGCAACCCAGGTTAATCTTGTGCAGCTACCGTCTCAACAATATCACATCTCCACTACAAAAGAGGTCATGTGTGACCTGTGAATGTTTTTATGCTTCACTTTGATTTTAACTTTTTGTAATAGATTTATGGGTATTTTCTGGATGTTATTATTAAAATTTGTGTTGTAGCTGTGCAAAATAGTCTTGTCTGTCTGTCCTTTACTATCAAACAACTCAAATCCATATTATTCAAGGATCAACTGTAACTCCTCTAAGTTTAGATTACATGACATCATGCAACTTTAGGCTGATTTGGCTCCTTAATCACCTATCACAGAGACTGTTAATTTCTTTCTGTAACAGCCATTCATCACCAAATGTTAACATAGGCCTCCAATTTAGAAATAAAGTGTCCTGAGCTTCCTTAATGCTTCCCCAAGACTTGAAATATCAATAAAACTAATTATATGACAATGCATGATGATTCAACAGCAGACCACAAACCAAAGAAAATTCATTGCCCATCTATGCTTTTTGGGAGACAAATTGACAGACTGATCTTCTATGCCCTACTGTGGTGTGGTCCTTTTTTATACTTGAAATTGGAGAGAGTTATATACTCAGGCTACCTATAAGACATCTATGTCTCTAGTAATAGCTAACTAGCCTACCACTTTGTTCTAGGCAACTGAGAAAAAAAAAGCAGGATATTTATTTGGCAATTAGAATATCTCCTTGTGCAGTTTTTCTTCTCTGTCACTTATATTATTGTATGTGTATTTGTTTTACCTTTAAAACTTTGTGGGTATCCGTAGTGGTGTTTTAGTTATGGTTCTGGGGACCAAATCTGGAATCTCATGTAAGCTAAGCACGTGCTCTGAGCTATAAAAGTCATTTGAAAGCATAGAGATTTACCATCATTGTCTTTTAATTTTCTCTTTAATTGTGTGTAGAAGTGTGAAGTGCTTGTGAGTGCCAGTATCTGCAGAGGCAGAAGTGTGGGATGCTCCTGGAGCTGGTGTTCAAGGTCCCCTGCGAGAGCAGAGCACACTCTTAGCCACAGAGCTCTCTCTCCGGCCCACCTCTATTACGTTATCATCACCACTAGCCATTCTTACAATGACTATCCAAATGCATGGAGCACTGTGAATGACTACTCAGTCAGTCATATGTAAATTACATTCTATGCCTATAATCTGAACTACAGCATAAAGAAGACATAAACTTACTATTTTCTTGGACTCTGGCCACAAATCCCATTAAAGGTAACTGAGGAGTTACCTGTAGGATGGAAGGAGGAGGAGGAGGAGCAAGAGATACTGCAAAAACAAAAAAGGTGTGGAGGATAAGGGCTAAGGGCAAGTTATATTAAAAGGAAAGGATAATACAATAAAACATATAAAGGAGGAAAACCACTTTTCACAAACATTTGTCTACCTTACGGATTCACTTTTGAGGGTAACTTTATAAACAAAGTAACACACTAGAGAGTTTTAGTAAGCCTTAGAACTACAACAAGCACCATTTAACATGCATGTATCTGTTCTATGTAATGGGAACCAATCCTCTTTGCAAATACTGTCTCTGTTGATTACCATGAACAAGTGGTTGCTTTTCTAAATTGTCAGTATAGCAGAAAAAAAAATGACATCCCAACAACCTAAATAAGCTTTTTATTACTTCAGTAACAAAAAACAAGCATTAATTGAATCTTTATTTAGTTAAACAAGTATGGTCTGAGTTCTTGCTAAGAGGCAAGGACTCTGCTAGTCCAGTTATTAGAGCCTTACACTGAGAGTCAGATGCTCTTACTGCAAGTTTTCATAACTCCAATTCATTATATTTCCTCCTCAGTCCTACAGGAAACACCACTATTCTTCTCCCAGGGTGTATGCCTCCATCTCAAATGCCTGGCACAAATTAGGAAGCCTTCAACAGATATTTAAGTATGAACAAATAAGGCAGATACCAAAATAATTTTTAGAAGGTTAACTCTATAGTTACAGTTCTCTTCAGAAAGCATATATACTATGGTAGCCATATTCTTAATGGAATTAATTTCCTAGGAGACAATGCTGGCCACAAGGAGGAAGGCAACAGAGAACAGATCTCTGATCAAGTACTTGAAGAAAAGATGTATGCTAAGCAGGCAGAACTTAAGAAAGACAATCAAGCTTAAGGAACCAAGTTAGGACAAAGGCTTACAGACATAAAATAGCATGAGCAGAGTTCACAGGTCCAAAAATGTTCCCTCTATAAGGCTACTAGAAGGTATATTTAAAAATTAAACCAGGCAGTGGTGGCACATGTATGTAATCCCAGCACTCTGGAGACAGAGGCATGCAGATATCTGAGTTCAAGTCCAGTCTAGTCTACAGAGCAAATTCTAGGACACCCATGGCTGTTACACAGAGAAAACATATCTCAAAAAGGCAAATAAACAAACAAACAGGGCTGCAAAATTGGCTCAGTTGTTAAGAGCACTTGTTGCCTCTTGCAGAGGACCTGAGTTTGGTTCCCAAAACCCACATGGTGGCTCACAACCATCTGTAACTTTAGTTCCATGAATCCACACACTTCTATGGCCTCCACAGGTACCCAACATGGTTGTGGGGCATATACATTCACGCAGGCAAAACACTGAGACATAAAACAAAAATAAATATTTGATGAAAGTTGCAGAAAGGTGAGCATGCGGGCATGAAAAAGAGGATGTACATGAAGGGCTTGGCGTAAACAGACTGATTTCTTTTTAAGTCACTCTGCCTCAAATTCTTGATGTAACATTTTCTGTGTTTAGACACCATGACAACTAGATATTCTAGATCTAATCCATAAATATGAGAAATAGATAATACTATTTCACATAGTAGAAGCATAGATTTTATTTCAAAAGCTTAATCAAGTCCTGAAAACAGCAAATCAAGGCAAATTCTAGAAACAAAAGAAAAACTTTGTTACATGTAGGTAAACCACTATACAATAACTAATGATTTAACTAGCATACAAGGACAGCAAAAACACAAAGGGGTTTTGCTAGAGACACAGAGGTGGGGGGAGAGAGACTTTTAGGTTCGTGATTAAAGAAGCTATTAACTCACTAGCCATGGCAGTTAAGTATGGGAAAAGCACGGGGTGGTGATTGTAGACAGACTAGAAGAGATGAAGGCATAATAAATGGGATGCATGCGGGTAACTTAAGCAAAAAAATGAGAGGCAACAGGAAAATATGGGTGGGAGATATTAAAACTCAAGAAGTATAAAGTTAGTAGCTATCAGTAAAGTGATAATGGCTGACAGCTGCACAGACATGCAGGAACATGTAAAATATACAGAGAAAAGCTAGCAGACATTTTTAAGAGTGTCTGAAAGTAAGAAAACAAGCACCACATCCATAAACTGGTCCCTCTCTTCAAAAGGTGACTTGGGTTTTAGATTTTTCCCTAAAAATCACACTTCTTGACAGTAAATCCCTCACTCCAAAGACTGGGGTTGCGGTGGCACATCTACATGTTGCTAAGAGACAGTAAGCAGAGTGGGAGCAAGAGAGTAGCTAAGAAACAGCACAGGACACTAGGAAAAGAGCCCATTGTTTGGACATTCACATTCTGTAACACTAAACACCTTCTTCTGAAAGCAGACACACCAAGCTTGTTTGCTTGCTTCCTTCTTCTCAAACAGAAAAATGGGAATCTCTCTCTTCATTTATAAAGGCAGTAACTTTTGTACTTGGCAGAAAGGAAGGAAGGAAGGAAGGAAGGAAGGAAGGAAGGAAGGAAGGAAGGAAGGAAGACATGCATAATTTAAACAAGTCTTTTTATGGACAAACTGAGCTTATTACATTTTAAAGATGAATATGCCTTCTTTTTTCAGGAAAATTTCAAAAACTCATTGTTGTGGTTTGAAAGAAAATGACCCCTATAAGGAGTGTCACTATTAGGAGGTGTAGCCTTGTTGGAGTAGGTGTGGCCTTAATGGAGGAAGTGTATCAGTGGGGGGGGGGGGGATGAGGCCTCCGATGCTCAAGCTTCACCCAGTGTGACACAGTTCACTTCCTGTTGATTGTGGATCAAGACGTTGAACTCTTAGCTCCTTCTCCAGTGATGTCCATGTCTGCTTCCACACTACCATGTCCTGACATGAAGATAATAGACTAAACCTCTGAGACTGTAAGTGGACCCAAATTAAATGTTTTTCTTTATAAGAGTTGCCATGGTCATGGTGTCTCTTCACAATAAAAACCCTAAGATGCTCATCTAACCAGAATTCAGTTATAACTGATTCTGTAAATTCCTGTGAACAGAAAAGAGCAAAAAGCAGAAGTTGCAGTACAACTTAGTAGTAGAATATGTGCTTCCTATGTGAAAGGCTTTAAATTTCATTCTCAGTAACAACAAAAGAATGGGAAGTAACTTTACAAACTTGTATATTTCCATTATTTACCTAAGATATTTCCTCATATAAGACCTTTATTCTAGAACCACTTGAAAGATCTCTGAATTTAGAATGAGTTATATTATTTTTATTAAAATACAATGTTGGTAGGCTGGAGAGATGGCTCAGTGGTTGACAGCATTAGGAGGAATGCTGTCAGACTTATACTCCACAGAACCCTACTGCTTTGTCAAACTTCATTCTTTGGAAACAAACATCTATGGCAAGGCTCTGACTACAAAATATGGGTTCATAAAACATAAGTATCATTTTGTTCACTAAATAATTCACTAAGTATTAGATCTTACAAAAGAGCTGTCAAATTAAAAACATACTTGGGTTGAGTGCAGAAAAATGATAGAACACTTATCTGACATATTCAAGGATGATGGTGCAAAAGCCAGAAACTTCTCCCACCAAAAGGACATAATATAGCTTTGCTTTGCTTTTTTTTTAAAGTAGGCTTTAAAAACAGATTAATTATAGCTAATGTTAATTAGTTATAACTAACTAATTAATTATAGCACAGAGCTATAACTGTCTTCTTTAAAGTTACCAAATTCCAATAGAAGAAAGGCAGAAATTAGAGTACAGAAAATACTGACAGCTGAAGTGTCTCTCATGATCCAAACAATTCCAGTTCACCTTATTAATACTTAGATTAAAATTATTCTCTAAAGATTTAATTCTACTTTAAAATATATTTTGGCATATATGAATCTGACTTATAAAGTATTATTGAAATATGAAATCTTTATATAAGAAATATAAGGCAAGACTAGAGCACTTGGCTAACAAATACAAAGCCCTAGACTCAATCTTTTATACTGCAAAAATTAAATACATGAAACAGATGTTTAAAGAGCTGTCACATTTTACCTAAAGAGTTCTCATAGGAGTACTGAGTATATACACACAGCATGAAATATTCCTCCACAGTCTTACTAAGTACCTTATACAGCTGGTATCAAAATTGTAACAGTGAAACCTCTCCCAACTTCATTATGGATCTAACCCATTTTAGATTAACATTGTTTCAAACTGTTACATTAAGTAATAAAGGTACAAGGGACTGTAAGCAGTAATTTCCAGATACCCAAGAGAGCCAGCCCCTCTTCTAGAAAACTATTAAGCAGACTATATCTAATAAACTAAAATTTAAGGACTGGAAAAAAAGAAGCATGGGCCACACACACACACTCAGGAGGCTGAGGCAAGAGGATCAATAAAACCCCAAGCTCAAATCCAGTCTAAATAAGACTTTTTTTAAAGTGGGGGCAGTGGTGGCTCATGCCTTAAATCCTAGCCCTTGGAAGGTAGAAGCAGGGGACAGTCAAGGCTACACAACAAAACCGTCTCAAAAAAACCTAAAAAAAAAAAGAAAAAAGAATAAACACAGCCTTAAACACTAAGCATGAAAGGAGAAATACATTTTAATCAAGGCACTTAGGAGGATTCACCCTGCATTTTGCACTAGGTTAACTACAAATACAGCATTCCATAAACGAGAGGAGCCCAGGAGAGTGAAGAACCTTGGATAAAGAAGCGAGGTTTCATTTGATATTCAACAGTATTTTTAAGCAATTTTCTCAGGATAGTCCTGCATAAACACTAACAAGGATTCCACCACTAGTGTAAACTATATTGTAATAGAGACTTCCTCTTCCTTCTTTTTCTCCTCTAGCAGAAACAGAGAAGCCCTGAAGCCCTGGCAGGTGAAGAGCAAATAAACCTTTTAATCTGAAGTTAGGTAGAAAAGTCACAAAATACAGAATCAAAAAAAGAAAAGAAAAGAAAAGAAAAGAAAAGAAGAAAAGAAAAAAACAATTAAGTTTAAGTCTACCTTGACCAATACCTTGCCTTGGTTTCATATACAAAATACATATGTAAATATCACCATTCTTGGGGCTGAAGAGATTGCTCAGCAGTTAAGTGTGCTACTGTTCTTCCTGAGAACCCAGATACAATTCCCAGCACCCACATGGCAGCTTACAACCATCTATAGCTCCAATTTCAGGGGATACAATTTCCTCTTTTGGCTTCTGTGGACATTAGGCAAATATATAGTACAAAAACATATGTACTGGCAAGCAAAACATTCATAGACACATAAAATTTTAAAAACTTAAAAGCCTTTAAATATTATAACCAACCATATTTTCCATATGTAAATCAAGTGAGATAATAAGAGGAAAGTCATTTTTTTTCAAGATTCTAAAGGGTTTAACTAAGTTTCACTAACAGATAGCAGCTACAGTAGATTAATTTCTGCTCCATAAATTAAAGGCTTATGAGAGATGGAATGATCTGTCCCCCAAAATCAGAGGAACTCACAGAGGCTTCATTACCTCTTAGCAAAAATTAAAAACAAGACAGTAAGTTGACATAATACCTTCATGGTCAAGGTGCCTAATATTTTTGTGAATTCTCTAGGAAATGAACAAAATGCTGATTATTGTAGTATACAAGTGTAAGTGTGCAAGTTTGGCTTTTCTGTATATCTGATTCAATCCTTTATTTCAATTGTTCTATTTGGATCAATTTCTCCAAGTCCCTCATACCCATCAGGGTATTTGATATGATAATTGAGTTAAGACAGTTTGATTATCTAATGTAAGATACCTTCATGTATACCCAATTTCATTTGTAATTCATAAAGCGATGATGTCTTATTAAACATAAAGAAAATACTGCTCTCATACATACTCCACTTGAGATAGGATCTCAGTTCTACAGCCTAGGCTGCTGACTCTCCCTGCCTCTACCCATGAGTGCAGAAACAGAAGTAAGCACTTGCATCTCTAGCACAATGATAGTTTTTAAAAGCAAATTACCATACACTGAAAATGACTCCATTCAGAGAGAGAGAATAAAAAAAACTCCTTAGCTTTTCACCAAGTCATACACTAACTGCTTAAAGTAGAAACAATATTACTAAAACCTTAGTATTTATTCATTCATCTATCCATTTAATAAGTGTTTTAATAGTTTATTTATTTGTATTTTATGTTCATTGGTGTTTTCCTGCATGTCTGTCTGTGTGATGATGTCAAATACCCTGGAACTGGAAATACAGACAGCTTTGAATGCCATGTAGGTGCTGGGAACTGAGACCAGGTCTTCAGAAGAGCCATCAGTGCTCTTAACTGCAGACCCATCTCTCCAGTTCCTCAACAATAATCTCATTATCTCATATTTCATATGGGATAACTATCTACTATGTATAGGTTAATTATCTGTAACTGAAGAGGTTTTTCTTTTTTGTCTTTTGGTTTTTGTCTTTCTTTTTTTGGCACAACACGAAAGAAAGGAAAAGAAATGTCAAAAGAAGAGTCTAACCTGGATTCTGGTTATAAAAAGGTCCTCCATTCATCTGACTCTGAAGGCTTGCCTGTGAAGTTATAGAAGGAGGCCGTCTATAGGGCAATGAGCCCCCGATTGTTGGTGGTGTATGGCGAGAGGCAGGCCTATTCATGCTGTAGAACTGAACAGGATGACCTGGGAAGGGAACAGAACACAGACACATCATTAAAAGAAGCTTATCTCAGATAATGAAATACTTTGAGCCAAGCAGACTAATATAATATAATATATCATAAATATGTTTTATAAATATAAATAATTATTATTTATATCAGTCTGTTTATATTTATATTATTATTTATATTAGTCTGTTTTTTTAAGTAATTATTTAAGTAATCTAGTCTGCAGTATTCTGCTACGGCACACAAAACATAGTTTCCCCTTCTCTCCAAAAAATAAATAATGATTTAAAGCAGTCACAAAACACTGGAGACTAAACAAAAAATCACATTCTGGAAAAGAAAAAGGAAAAATGTCTGATACAATCTTACTCTAAAACAATGGTGGAGATAAGTTAGCAAGGAAAGTTGTTTAAAAGGAAACAAAATATTTCAACAGAACACTTGATGCTGTAACTCCAAGCCAAAACCATCTTCATACAACACAAAATATTCAGCTTCCTAAAGCTAGAGCATATCTTAAAATTTGTCTATGAAATCTAAATCAAAATTTGCATCATCACCCCAGAAGCCTACCCATGTTTATTACTCATTTGAACCTATTTCACTTCTTCAGAATTATTCGCTGCTAACATCAACTGGAAAAATTCTTTCCTAATCCATCCAGTTTCCTAATAATGCAAACCCCAAATTTTACCTTGCTTTTGCCCTCACTTGCTCTCCACTCAGCCAAGGCCCTCATTAACAGAGCATTAGAAGGAACCCATGAAAGAACACAGTCGAGCAGGCACCAAGGCATGGAAAGGAGAACGGGATAACAGGAAGACAGAGGAGGGAGGACATGATGAGGAAAAAAGGAGAAAAGGTGGAAGAAGAAGAAATAAAGGTAGAAAGAAAAGCATTGCCATTTTACTAATACTTGGCAAGGCAAAGATCATCACGTACAAAAATGTACCACCATTATGAATTTTTATAAAGTTGGATCCAGTCTAAAATTTCATCTGTCTTAAGTCTACAAGGCACTATTTAGCTAGAGAAATGGCTTAGCAGTTAAGAGCACTTGCTGCTGCAGAGGATTGGGGTTTGGTTCCCAGCACCTACCCAGCAGCTCAGTGTCGCGCTCCATTAACTACAGCTGCCGAGGACCTAACATCTTCTGTGATGTCCTTTGGTACTAGGCATGCATGTGGTGCACATACATATATTCTGGTCAAACATTCATACACATAAAAATAAATACAAAAAATACAAACAATATTTTTTTTTGTTTTTCAAGACAGGGTTTCTCTGTTTAGCTCTGGCTGTCTCTCTGGAGACCAGGCTGGCTTCAAACTCACAGAGATCCACTGGCCTCTGCCTCCACAGTGCTAGGATTAAAGGCATGCGCACCACCCCCACAGACTTTACAAAAACAATTTTAAAGACATCTATTTATATCAACTAAAGTTAGGATTTTTGGCACCCCACCCCCAAAAAGGCACAATGAAAGGATACCCAGCCTCAGCACTCACTAGAGATATGCAAATTAAAACTACATGGAAAAACCACTTAAGTTTAAAAAAAAATGTACAGTTACTTAGGAAACAACTTGGTAGTTTCTTTAAAAGTTAAATATTCCAAGCATGTGGTACATGTCTTTGATCCCACCATTGAGAAGCAGAGGCAAGCAGACATCTGAGTTCCAGGCCAGTAAGGGTTACACAGTGAGACCCTATCTCAAAAATAAAATAAATAGATTACACATTCCCTTTATAATACAACCTAACAATTCTATTCCCTAGGTATTTACCAAGACGACATGACCTAAACTCACCAGAAACCTGTACATGAATGTTTGTGGAAGCATTATCCATAATCCCTCAAAATAAAAACTATCCAAATGTCCTTCAACTTGGAAAGGCACATATTTTAACACATTCATACAGAACAGCACTACCAACAGTGAGAAGGAACATAAAATACCTCAGCAAAGCTCCTAGCCATAACACCAAACAACTTACATATTGTCCACGACTTCCATTTATCTGTATACATCCACTCTAAAGCACAGGTCAACAGTGAGCAAAGGGCAAGGGTGAACCGCAAAAAGGCATGAGGTCATTTTGGGTGTGGGTGATGTAACTATTCTAGATCTTAATTGTGGTGGCAGGATACACTTAAAAGAATTCACATATATTTACACTTTAAAAAGGCAAACTTTACACACTTTATACCTTAATAAAATAAAAATGTAAAGAATTTTACTTTTTGTTGTAAAGATAACTTTCTACTCACATAATAAATGTTTACTTGTTGAAAACCGTGAATCACCCTTTTTGGGGTAAAGGGAGCCTTCTATTGTGTAGTGCTGGTGGTCCCTAAACTCACTAGGTACAGTGGCCTGGAACTCAAGAGATCCACCTGCCTCTACCTCCTGGGTGGTGGGATTAAAGGCGTGTGCGACTATGCCTGGCCAAATACCTATCATTACATTATAATTTAATTATTAAAATTCTTAGGTAGGGGTCATTTCTTCATCTATAGCATTAACAAGATTCCTATATTTAACTAGTTCGACTAGTATAATAGAGTTGCATATCTCAATCAAATGACTACTCATCCATTTTCACTCATTCATTACAGAAAAGTCTTTTTTTATAAAGATAGAGGCTATCTCAATTGAGCACTACCCAAAACCCAATTTGAACAAAGATGTCTTTTAAAACATGTCTTATTAGTAGCCAGGTGGTGGTGACACATGTTTTTAATCCCAGCACTCAGGAGGTAGAGGCAGGTGGATATCTGAGTCTGGTCCACAGAGGAAATTCCAGGACAGTCAAGGTTACATAGAGAAACGCTGTCTTGAAAAAAAAAAAAAAAGAATTTACTTACTAACCAGCATCATATTAACTGTTCAGCGTATTCTGAGGTAACTGAGTCTTTACCACCTATCCCAGCAAAACATATTTGAGGTTGAGATCTTTAAAAGAATGAGTACATTTATTTATAAGGAGGATGCATTCATACCAGAGAGAGAATGCTTGTGTGTGTGTGTGTGTGTGTGTGTGTGTGTGTGTGTGTGTGTACGCATGTATATTAGAGAACACTTACAGGATCTGGTTATCTTTCCACCATTAGAAATTCAACTCTGGTTGTCAGGCTGGGCAGCAAGCCCTTTCTTATCTGATGAGTCATCTCCCTAGCACTAGGTTAAAATCTTAAACAAAACACCAATCAACTTGAATAATCCTGAACTTCTTTAGAAGCACAGTTAATAAGTTTCTGGTACTGCTAAAATATAAGCAAAAATCCCATTATAATATACACAGAAGTTTGTAATTTGCTATATAGAATATTACATTAAAATGAAACTTTCAACTGTCATAGGCTTGTTTTTGTTAATTACTTAACCTGTAATATTATTGGTGTGTGTACTGGTACAGGTGTTATATGGAGATCTATGTGCATGTAAACAGTTGAGCATGCCAGAGGCCATCAACCTTGTATTTTCAATGTCTTTCACTAAGACCTGGCACTTACCCATTAGGATGGGCTGACTAGACAGCACTGGCTTCAGTTCCTGAACACTGGGATTACAAACATACACCACCTTGCCTAGCTTTTTATGTCTGTCCTTGGGACAAAACTCAAGTCCTCACACTTGCACAGCATGGACTTTACCAACTAAGCTAACGGCCCCAGCTCCCTATAACAGTTCTAATGGCAAGTTTTCAAAACTGTACGGAAGTTAACTCCATACTAAATTCACAAATCAACTTTTTTTTTTCAAAAAAAAAAAAATACAAAGTAAAACCAAACCAACAAATATAGCAAAGCTGAAGTTTCAGGCAAGAATGGCCAGATCTGTCTGCCATGCCAATACTCACCTGTGGGGGGATTGGAAGAAATAACAGGGGGAGTTGGAGAAGTGAAGCCATCAGCAAGGGTCTGTGCACCCCCAGCAGCAACATCTGGGGCAGTGGAGGAGGGGACAGTAACAGGAACAAGAGGGGTAGGGACAGGTGCGGAAGTAGCAGGAAGAGGAGGGGTGACAGCAGAGCCAGCAGGGGCTGATGGGAAAGAGGAGTAAGAGGCAGCATTAATAAGGCAGTCATATTAGCATTAGAAAAGGCATTGGAATACTAAGAGTATTCAGCGCTTAACACTAGTCAAAAGAATAGAGCATTGCAAAAAAAGAATGGTTAAGGGTATTATATGAACAACAAATAATTCAAGATGCTCAGGTAGTATAGAAAAATGTTAGTTAAAAACAAACCTTCCTTTTTACCTAAAAGTAACTAACCTAGGAAAAAACTGCTTCCTACATATTGTTACTTTTATCATGAATGCCCCACTGAAAAAAGCAACAATATACTATTAGAATTATAACACAAATCAATATATACACACACATTCCAGACAGTATCTTATTAGACAGAAAAAGAAAAAAAAACCCTTAAATAATGCACAAAATTTTTCATGATTTTTTTTAAAAGGTAGTGTTTATTTGCATTATTATAATTAAATATGTTGTTCTGGTTTTAAAGACAGAATTCTCACTACTTAGTCTACTGGCACCTAGATTCTCCTGCCTTAGCCTACACATGCTATATTGCAGGCATGTACAACAACCGACTACAAAATATTCTATGTTGCTGGGTTTGGGGGTTGTTTTATTTTGGTTTGTTTTTGGTTTTCCAAGACAGGGTTTCCTTGTGGAGCCTGGCTGTCCTGGAACTCTCTCTGTAGACCAAGCTGGCCTCAAACTCGGATATCTATCTCACTCTGCCTCCTAAGTACTGGACTAAAGGTATGCACCAACATACCCAGCTTATTTTGCTAGTTTTTTTTTTTAATAAAGATTTTTATTTACATGTGTAAGCCTAAAAGGCTTTATGTGTGTCACCTGCATGTAGGTGTCCAGAAACCAGAACAGAGTGTTAGGTCACCTGGAGCTGGAGTCACAGGCAGTTGTGAGTCACCCAACATGGGTGTCGAAACCATACCTGGGTCTTTCTACAAGAGCAGCAAGGGCTCTTAATTAACTGTCTCTCTAGTCCCTATCTTGATGTTTTTGCGTTCATGTTTTTAAAACTAAATTCAAACTCTGTTTTCAAATCAAACAACTATATTTTTCTGTTTCAGGGAGGAAGAGGGGATAGTTTTTCAGAAACTACTGAATTATAATACTCCTTTAAATTTACATCTCTTATCCTCTGTTACCAAAATTATTCTCAAACCACATCATCATCATTTCTAAGAAAAAGTACTGGTGTAACACTAACTGAAACTAAAAAAGTAACTCATACCATAATGAAAATGAAACCTCAAAGCAACAACTGAACTAGCACCAAAGACATAAAACAAAGTAACAATTGGACAGTAAACAATTAAGATCACTGGACAGAAATACAAATGTGTGTAGACTTCCCAACACTTATGGAATGCTAAGAAAATCTTCTTTAAAATCTTTATTAGGAAAAAAACCCATCTGTAAGAGACTCTGGGTTCAAAAGTCAGCAACACACATGAACACGCACATACATACACAGAGAAGTGCACGTTCACACATGTACAAAACCAAGAAAACTCACTATAATACAGTAACAAATTGAATTCAAATTCACAAAAGAAAACAAAATAAATGATCATTAGTGCTTTACCTGGAAAGACGCTGGGAGGAGATGGGGTAGGAACAGCAATAGGAACCCCCACACTCCCACTTCCACTGTTCTCCCGACTACTGCTCCGACTACTTGGGTGGCTTCCTCCACTGCTCCCACTGCTGCTGAAGAAATAAGAGCCACCAAAGTATGAATATAGAAAACAAGATATCACATTCCCAAGTATTTCTGAAATGGACATAGCTACAAGAAATAAAATTCATAAAGCTTCCATTTCAAATATGAATTCTTAATAAGCGATAAGGGGAAAATCTGAGTTCAGTAAACTTGTTTTGCTACCTTATACACTTTCTTAAAGAAATTCTCTATAAATGTAAGGGCAAATTGTTCGTGCTTAATACATTAAAATAATAAATATTACCTTTTATATCCTGACTTAATATCTATCTGAAGAAACTTATAGTAAGTTTTACTAGATTATTTTATTTCAGTTTTAAAGGCATGGTGATATATTAATATTTTAGTATGAGTTGTTTCTCATCTTTAAATTTCTACCAAAAAATAACTTGCAATTTTCATTTTTGGTTAATAATGTTTTTTGAATGAACATGAGTTGTCTCTTTGTTGTTAAGTTTATACTTTGAGATGTCTTTCTCACCTTCCTGACTGTTCAAGGTTGCCTTAGAGCATGAGGGGAGAGAGAGGAAGAATCAGATGAGGTTTGGGAGAGCAGAGAAAAAGAACTTAGTGCTTGGAAAATAAGAGAGATTTAGCTGAAGTTATCTGAACAGATTATGGTACTCTGACCATCATGTTTTGCGCTGAGGTAGAGAAAAATACCTGTAAGTTCGATTTCTTTGATTCACAGAAGCTGTCCTCACAGGGCTCTGCTGCGAGGGAGCCATATTACGGGTTGGGCTAGGTACGTAATCATTTGGTACCACTGGAGGACGCACTGGCTCCAGTGTGCGATAGGGGGAGTGCCGCCTACAAAAAGAAGAGCGTATGTATTGTGTGATTAATCAAGTTTCGGCACGATAAATTCAGAGTTGCCAGTGCAATACAATTGGTAAGCAGAAATCGGAAATGTGGTTTAACCTAGCTATCAATTTGTCTTTCCTACAGTACAACTCTTCCACCATGAGAGAGCTCTGGTGAATATGTAGTGTAAATCTCAGTCTCCAACCTCATTTCCCTATGCTAATGTAATTTTGTTCATTTATTCACAGAAAACTCAAGTTTTCCATTGTTTAAGCCAATTTTTTCTAGGCTCCACTCTTTTCTTAGAAGAATTTGAGTATTTTAGTATCATGTCAAAATCTCCCAAAGGCACTCGCTAATTTATATTCTTCTCCTCTCTCTCCCTAACCAAAGATGTTTAAAAAAACAGATGACAAATCTAGATTTTTGGAGTCACAACCTCCACATGATGACCAATACCAGCCTTAACTCATTCCCCTTTTTATACTCTAAACACATGGAAATCAAAGCATATTGATAATTAAAAATACACCACTTCATTTCATTTTCCAAACTTTTGCCTTCAACTTCACCTTAATTTCTTTGCTGATTCCTCCTCAGAGTTCAACATTGATAGGAAATTTTAAAAGACTACCTAAGTTCTTCTATATTTTTAAACTGTAAAATACAAACTAGACAATGTTACTAAGAAATCATTTCCCTTCTCTCAGATTTTCCCTCCAAAGAAAGGACGTGACAGAAGCAGAAAGGAAACAGAATGGGATGTAAAGTACTCCAGTTCTTGTTTCCAAGCGACCAAATCCTTCAGGGACAAGGACATCTTGCAGTTGAGATTAAGTCTTCAAAAGAATTTGGCATCCGAAAGTATGAAAATTAAAAAGCTTTCTTCCCTTCCAAAAGATGCCGCTCAACCTGCTCTTGCATTTCGCATTATTCACCCCCAACCAGGTTTCCACAGTTTCTTTAAGCATTGCTTCCCTGGCCACTCAAGTTATAGCTCACTGACTTTGAATGAGGTTTTTTGTCTTCTTTCTTTCCTTCCTTCCTTCCTTCCTTCCTTTCTTGTTTTTGTTTGTTTGTTTTTGCTTTTTTTTTCTTCCAGTTCTTTGATTTTTCCAGCCAGGGTTTCTCTGTATAGCCCTGACTGTCCTAGAACTCACTTCTCAAACTCACAGAGATTTACTTGCCTCTGCCTCCTGAGTGCTGGTATTAAAGGCATGCGCCACCACCACTCAAATGAGATTATATTTCAAAGGCACTGTTGACTCTACTTCCCTTGGGTATTTTTCAATAAACAAAATAATTAATAATTCAAAATAAATAAGGGAAAGTATATATGCTATTGTGTCAAAAGGAAGGGAAGCAATGCTATGACTCTGAATTGAAAATATTTTTTTAAAAATTCAAGCATCTTTGAAATTAGAATGTCTATATAAATTTATATAATGATATTAGATAATCTCTAACGTCTACTTTTGACAATGTTTTCTACACACTAAAATATTTCATTCTATCTTCACTAACTTCAAGTTATACAGAAAAACAATGACACAAACAAGGTTAAAAAAGTAAAACAAAGTAAGCAGGAGGAAGAGGAAAATTATAGTGATTAAGCAAAGACTAAAGAAAACAGGCCAATATCATCAAATGGACAAATGGAACTTAGCCACTCTGATCTCCAAGGAACAACTGAACTCCTGCTAATATCCAAGAAAATGCATTACTGGTACATAAGTGTGAGTTCAAAATCTGAGTGTAGAAGAGATTTTAATTTTACTAGAGACTTGATAACAACATTAACTTAAACATTTACAAATTCCATTAAGTAGTACACCTGAGGAAATAAATGTACATATGTTTACCAGAAAACAAAGCAAACACTTTCTCTGCAGCCATCACACCCCACAATGTCATTTTCATTCTACTTTGAAGTTAAATCTTATTTGACCTACTAGATTCTTTCCTCTGCATTCTAAGAACAAAAAGATCATTCTAGATAAAGCCTAAACAGCATTCCAAAATTTGAGGAAGGGGGATCAAGAGTTCAAGATCAATATAGGCTACAATATGTAATAACACCTGGCTTAAAAAGAAAAATTAAATTTATTAATTAAAACCATCATATTCTTGGTTTCACCTTTTTGTTTTGCTTTCCACTGACCAAACTATAATCACTTTCTAAAATTATCCTCCTTCATATTTCAATTTGTTTCTGTTCTATTCAAATCCAAGTGCTTGACGGGGGTGGGGGTGGTGGGGGGCATGTTGTTGTTGTTTCCTCGTGGTTCTCATCCCTTTATTTCTTTTTGAGAAAATATCACAAAGACAAAAGTTCTGAAAGCATCTGTCATGTCATACTTTTTTTTTGATTTTTCGAGACAGGGTTTCTCTGTAGCTTTGGAGTGTGTCTTGAAACTAGTTCTTTTAGACTAGGCAAGCCTCGAACTCACAGAGATCTACCTGTCTCTGCCTCCCGAGTGCAGGGATTAAAGGCATTTGCCACCACTGCCATTTAAAAATGTGTCTTATACATTTTTAAAAATCCAATTTGCAATACGGTGATCATGGAAAGTTGATAGAAGACAGATGAAAAAACTAAACTGTTGACCAACTGATGGCAGGACCACAGCACAAACAGCAGAGCTACACCCCAATTTCAGTCAACTGGCGTCTGCACTGTATTACACCTACTTAATCACAAACCTCAATCATGATAAAGCTAAGATACTACACAAGAAAAAAGTCACACTTTCCTTCTAACTTATAAAATAAAATCAACTCCAGAGCCCAAATCAAAGCTCCAAACTATAACAAGTTACAAAGAACATTATAATACACATAGCCTCTTGACAAGGCTATCCTGATAAATGCAACTGCAATATAAAAGATCATTAAATTTTTCTAAGAAAAAAGAATGAAGTTAGACTTCACTTTTATAACTAGCCATGAATTTAGACTAGGATTTTGTCACACTTTAAAACTCACTACAAGAATAACTTCCAAACAATCACTTTTAAAGTATAAAGATGTGCTTACCAAAGAATGGGAGGGAGGGAGGGAGGGAGGGAGGGAGGGAGGGAGGGAGGGAGGGAGGAAGGGAGATTTGGGCAGATGGACGATGAACACACAAAGCTAACAATACGAATAAAATACTCTCCCTACTAATTTACAGATTTTTTTCTTAAACACAATAGTACATGACATGGTTTTCTATTATCTATTACTGTATTACTCACCCAAGTGTCCCTTTTCCTGACATAGGGGGACTTGGGGGCTTCTGAGTCGGAGGTGTTGTACGTGGCAGCCCACCCATCTTCATATTCTGTGTACTCACCTAACAAATGTTGAAGAAAACACCACTTAATTTCTATGCAATAAAACAAAGTGATATTTGGAAAATAAGAAGGGGAAGGATAAATACAAAAAAAAAAAAACAGGCCATGCACTTCATATGCAATTTCTACTCTACTATTCTGTAGTTGTACTCAAAGGACTCTTCCTAAAAGAATTTCCAAATTATTTCAAACTTGTATGTGAAGAATTTATTTGCCATTAGGTCATCACACCAACAGATCACTGGTTAGACTATTGGATATTACACTCAGCTATAATCACAAAATATAGTTCTAAAAACTTTAGTGGTAACAAAAAATAACTCAAGTAAAAACAATTTATTTTAAATTTTTATCAATTCTTCATTTGGAGGACTGTTTCCTTTAGAAAGTAAGTATATCATAAAGCATGTTTCTCAGGTAAAAATTATGTAATATGCATATGTTCAGTTGTATGATGCACAAAGAAAAGTTCAGCTCTTTAAACTTGTGAAATACTCTCACAGTTCAGATTTAATGTTCTCCTTACAAGGAAATTACCTACCTGAACGCTGCTAGAAGTTCAAGGCAATGTTAGGGCTGAGGTAACACATCCACTGACAATATAAAAGCCACCATCATTGTGTGACTTCTAGTGGGAATTAAACCCACACAGGCCCAAAGTAGAGGTTAATTGTGGAATGAAACAGTGTAACATAGTCTCAAGTCAGAGACGGACCATGACTGCATTCATAATTCTATTTCCAACTGAAATTCTGAATACAGAAAAGATGGGCAATCAGGAAATAATGATGCCATTATGTCAGCACTCACAAAAAACCCTAAACATCCAGTTATCTTATAAGGAGTCAGTAAGGAATACAGTGCAAAGCAACCTCACACTGTTTGAGACTACTAATAGATTAACAAAGTAAATTCACGCATGCTCTCTTTAAGTCCCTACTATCTTGGATTGCTACCTTCAAAACACATTTATGGAATCTCAAGTTCAAAGATTAAATTAAATTCTGTCTTCAGAATTAAATTTATACTTACAACATAAAAGGATAAAATATTGTACCACTGAAGTTGGAAGAGACAACTTTAATTTTAAAATACATATTTATTTATAAGTAAATATATATTTAAAATTTTATATATATATGTATATATATATATATATATAAAAAATGGCAGATTCTCATTATGAAGCCCTAGCTAACCTATGGAGATCAGGCTGGCCTTGCATTCACAGAGATCAGCCTGTCTCTGCCTCCTAAGTGTTGGGATTAAGGATGTATACCACCAAGTCTGACCAATTTTAAATTTTATGAAAATGAATCTTAATTATAACAGAGTACTGAGGCTGTCAAAATTAACTGACTAGGGTAGATATTTTTAAGTCCTAAAACAATTATTACTTATCCAAATAAGCAAGAAATAGTATATTATGCAATAAATTCTTCAAATGAATAGCCCAGTGAACAAGTTGTGTGTGATGTTGAAACAGTATTTAATGACAAATGGTGCCTTTAAAATGTTATTATTTTTAAAGTAAAGCATTTGTCTGAATCTTTCTGCTGTTGCTTGTAAGCAGTAAATACAAATTATCAAACAAGTAAATTATCCTTGTTATCACCCTCTCTAATTAGCAGAGGGTTGTGAATTTATCTTTAAAATGTCAGAAGACACTTTCAAAAAAGTCAATTCACATTTGAAGAAAATTTTATAAGTAATCTGACAAATAACCACTATAACTTTTAAAAACTGCAAGTTTTGATTTATGATACCACAAGATTTAAGTAGTAACTAAAGTCCTTTAAGCTCAACCTTAAACAACATAAAACTCAAAGTTACTATAAGTGATGAGGGAGAAGTAAACCAAACATTAAACTACAATTCAGTTTGCTAGAAACAGGAAGGAAAAGGACCGAGAACAGAAAAAGAATAAAAGATAATTTTATTCTATATATGGGATAGCTAAGATACTTGAAGATAACTTTCTAACTATAATTTGGTTTAGGTTTCAATATGCAAGGTGCTTTTATTTAAATTGCAGTACCTTCTCTAAGTCTTCAAATCTATCCTAATAATAAGAGCAAAATAAAATTTGAGTTAAAATTGGGTGAGCATATAACAAAAAATGAATATATTTTATAATCTATAAAATCCTCAAATGATTGTATTTGTTTGGTTAATGGGATGGATGAGCAACAAATCACTTAAGCACCTAGGTCTCTGTAATGTCCAAACCACCATGTTTTATTCATCACTGACACTGTACTACTCTCTTATTAAGCTAAGTTTATCAGAATTTTCTCAAGGGAATTTTTCTCTGTGCTACATAAAACAATAAGTATAGATAATATGAATACAAAAAATTAATAGTAAGAAATGACAAAAACACTTCATTTCTTTATAAAGGCAAATTTAAAACTATAATTGAATATTCATATCTAAAATAATTTGTTCAAAAATTCTTTACTGAATAGATATCATGATACTAAAAGAAACTGAGGTATTTTAGAGAACATATTTCCTGACAATTAGCAAAACATCTGACTAAATTACCATGCTTGTTGTAGGAAACACAAATGCTTGTGTGCATTTTTGACATACCATGTCAAAAAGAAAAACAAAACTGCATCCATTTTGTCATAGTACCTCCTCCTGAAATGTGTGCATACATATGCTGCAACCAATTTATAACAGTAATTCCTCTTGATGTGTACATAAATGCATGTGTGCATATGTGAGTGTGCATGTGTATATACGCACATCTGCAGGCACATGCATACCACAGAGTACATGTAAAAGTCAGACAAGAACCTTTGGGTATAATCCTTAATGCTTTTCCACCTTGTCTAAAACAGAATCCCTTTGCTGCTGAGTATAACAGCCTACCTGGTGAGCAAACTTCTGGAGATCCTCATGTCTCTGTTTTGCATCTCCCTTGTATGGGATTACAGTTGTTAATGCTACTGTCATACTCTATTCATGTACACCTGATGTTCACTCAGCAACAAAACAGCTAACAAGGTTACCTCTCAGAATATGCTTCCATCATTAAGTGACAAATGACCACAGGGTACACTGCAAATGGATACATTTGACCAGATACAGCAAGGTAGAGTACTTGTCTAGGTTCTGAACCTAAGAGGAAGGGAGGAAGTCGGGGTGTGGCTCTGAACTTCAACCCAGTACTCTAGCCCTCCAGTAGATCACCTCTGATATGCAATCTTCTACTGACAGATGGCCTGCTTCAACAGAACAATGGCAGAAACATTCTAAAATGATTTCTGATGTAGCTTTCAGAAAAAAGGCTCAAGAGGAATAGAGAGTAATATAATCTAAAAAAAGACTATCTGAGTCATGTTTAAAAGAACAAGCTATCTCTACAAATAAGAAAATTGTTTTAAAGGGAAGTAGTAGTAGTAGTAGTAGTAGTAGTAGAAGTAATGTGAAAAGAAATTGTTACAAGAAGGTGCTGTATGACTTTTTCTAGGAAGATGTGAACAAATGTCCATTCATCCCAGATATGGTGAATGGTAAAGACAGGCTGAAAGAGGGTTTCATCCAAGTCTGGCTTGAGGAGCTGCTGGGTTTAATTGGAGTTACAGAAGCATGAGAGAGGGGTTGTTTACAGAGCATGACAACTTACAGGCACCTACACCACCCACCAGAACCTCCTCTAGAAGTTGTTAAGCACTTGTTTATCCTTAAGGAGGATAAGAACCTGGTGAGCAAACTCCAGGATCTACCCCTTGAGCGTTCTTCATCATTCCAAGAGAGGTGTACTGAGTCTAATCTTGAAAGGTCTTATATATGGATAACCATAACTGCTCAGTCAACGTGGCAATGGATATCTCTAGAGTTACACAATAGAAATGTTTCACAGAGAAAATGGAGCTAAGTGTAAACAAAGGGGTGGTGGGAAGAGAGAAGGGGAAAGTAAACAAGATCAGATTTGTAGTTTTATCATGTCTGTAATTTTATCACTTGGAGGCTGAGACAGAAGACAGTAGTTCAAGGCCAGCCAGCCTCAGTTACACAGTAAATTCAAAGTCACTTTGGAATAACCTGAGACCCTAAAAAGAAAGGATCTCAAGATGGGAGTTGTCGAATCAATAGTTAAGTTCATACTTAGTATGCTCAAAGCCCTGGGTTTGGTCACCTATCTTTTTTTTTTTAAGAAAAATACATTTAAATACAGAGAAAAAAAAAGAGGGCTATGAACGATTTTATCTATATTTATGGATTAGAGGAAGAGGGAAAATAGGCAAAGCCCACAATTTCCGGTCTAGTATTATCCTTTGCTATAGCACCATATGGTATAATTATTAATTATATTACTGAAATCCTTAGAGATTCCAGTATGAAACTTTTTGGTTCAAAGAGGAAAAATATTGAGGCGTCTTACTGGGAATCTTTCTAGGATGCCTTCAGGGAACCTATCTTTTACGTGGAAACAGATGTTCAAGATGAAGAAAGAAATACAGCCCAACCTAGAGAAAAGCCTTCGACAAGGCTAAGCATTAAAAGAAAAGGTCAGCCTACTTCTGTGTCTTTCTTCAGGTACACTACTTCTGGACACTGCTATCACTTTGTAGAAAAACAGACCAAAACTCAAAATTTGAATACTGCCTACATTTTTTAGTCTATTTCGTTGTAATTTAGCCATTTGAAACAGAAGGAACCTTGCCACAATTTCACATCCCTAGGTTACCAACACGGGAACGCTTAGAGCCTGTTCTCCAGTGTAACTTTATTTTTCTCTTGTCAGATCTACCTGCCATGACCAGGCAAATTTTTTATGGCCATGGTTAATTCTAGGTAATACAGTCATCCTGTCTCTTGCTTATCACTAACTACACTCAAAATGCAGCAAACAACAAAAACATATTTCAAAAGAAATCACAAAATCTGGGTAATAAAAAAAGAAATGCATGGTAAATTTGATGAAAATCATTTTAGTGACAGTATATTTGCTTTTCTCATGGATCCTTCAAAACACTAAATTATAACTCAAGTCACAACAGGAAACAACACTTTGCTTTATTTGGGTGTGGATTGATTGATTGATTGATTGATTTTACTTTGGTTGGTTGGTTGATTTGGGCCTTCTACATGCTAGCCAAGTGTTCTAGCACTGAGAGATACCTTTCAAACCCTACCTCTAATTATTAATTTGTATTTTTTAAACATTATCATGAACTTTGGGTGTTATGCATACAAATAATATTCATCTTTAAAAAAACTTGAGTTTATATTGAAATATATTTTATACAACCATTTTAAAGGACTTTTTGTAAAATGTACTGCAACTTAAAAAAGCATATGACATATTTTTGCTTTAAAATTTTTTGTATTATACCATATAATTATATAATCAAGCCACCATTTATAGAATAAAAGGCTATTACACAGGGAAGGGTTAAATAAAGCATATTAGTTGGCCCTCCAATCAGTAACAAAATTTCCACATATATAAAGACCCGGATAATTTTATCTCATAATACTTTACTACAGAATAACATATTTCAGTTTTATGAAAGTACCCATTCATTCAGAAAATACTTAATACCTATTGTGTGTTCAGTACTGTTCTAGGCACAAAGAACAGGGCAATGAACAAAACAGACAAAAATACCTACCCTCAGGGAACATGAAGACAGACAACAAAGTTGCTAGACCAAAATAAAAAGAACTAATTTGCTGGCTTTAAAAGGCCAAATGACAAATATCTTTTTACTCCCCATATGTAATATTCTACATAAGAACATAAAATGGAAATACAGCCCTGGAATCTCTTACCTTAAATCTAAGCAACCACTTAATGCATAAATGGAGCAAATAAAAGAGGTAAGGAAAGAAAGCATTGAAAGGTTAGTTGGAACTTCAAGATGTGAAGACAAAAAAAAAAAAAAACAAAGAAAAACAAGTTAAGCAATCAGCATTAACAAAATAATGTTTCAGTAGATCATAGAAAGAGTGGTTAAAGCAGAATGTGTCATGAACAGGAGTTTCATTGATGACAGTAAGACACTATTTTATTCAAAACTTTAATTCCTTTAAAGAGTTCTTCAAATTAACGACCACCAAACACTGAAGTACAAACAACAGAGGCTATAGTCCTAAAAGAAAAATATTTTATTTCACAGATTAAACAAGAATTACATGACGGAGTCACCTTTTATTATATAGATAGCACTAATTTTAAATTAGAAGAATCTTCTGGCATCAGATTCTGGTAGCAGTCTAAAACATTCTATTAGTAAAAGTTAGTCTTCAACAAACTTTCCCCAAGTTAAATAAATTACAGTTTTAATTAACCATTTAGTTATATATCCTATTTTAATTAGCCATTAAAATATATGTGTGAATCAACTTTCAAATTTAAATCAAAATTAAATATCAAATTCCAAATAATTATGCTTAACTCTAAATAAGCAGGGTGTGGGAGTACACACCTTTAATCCCAACACTCTGGAGGCAGAGGCAAGGCTAATCACTGTGAGTTCAAGGTCAGCCTGGACTACCCAATGAGTTCCAGGCCAGACAGAGCTTAAAGGGGGGGGGCAGGGAATAGAGAGGAAGGAAGGAAGGAAGGAAGGAAGGAAGAAAGGAAGGAAGGAAGGAAGGCAGGCAGGCAGGCAGGCAGGCTGGACAACAGTGACTCCATAAAATCCCAGCACTTGGAAGGCCGGGCAGGGGGGGGGGGGATCTCTGAGTTCAAGGCCAACCTGGTCTATAGAGCAAGGTCCAGGAAAAGCTTATAATCTATTGCTAGGCTACATTCCCAATACTCCATAATTTTGATCATAGTACTTCATAGACATACTAGGTACTAAATTATCTTTAAAAGATGGCCAAAATAAATAATTTTACAAATTTAAAAGCATTGGAAACGAACAATAATTTGTAACTTTTATCTACACTATTCTTATTCAAAAGTTTGAAATAAAATTATACTAGGAAAAAATAAAGCAGGTTCATGTTTAATAATATATGCTGTTCTGAAAACTAATAGCAAAAGTATGCTGATAAATTTTTGAGATAAGAAAAACATTTTAGTAATATGCTGGATGGCTTTTCTGCCATACTAAATCATTAAAGGCATAGCACAACTACATCATACTTTATCTGATCTATGTTAGTTACCAACATAACTAAACAAATCTCATTGAAAGATGACTGTTTCTGAAAACATAACACTAAAAAACTTAAGGACACAATAGTTAACAGTAGTAAGCAAAAAGCAATCTTCACAACTGTGTCAAGATTTGTTTCTTTAGGAAATGAAACGAACTTTAATTTTCTAGGGTTCCACTACAGACTGCTACTTTTGAAAGCTTATAAAAACTACACCTACCTTTACCCCATGTCCAATGTCATCTAGAATTGTATAGTCAATAGGTTTTCGAATATAACGAACTGGTCGCTCAAGATTAGCTGGTGCAATAATCTTATGGGTTCTTGAAGTATTTTTATTGGTAGTCAAAATACCAATTTCTCTTCTTGCAACTTTCTCTTTATGAATATCAACTGTCTGCAAAAGAAAAGATAACACAAAGACAGTTCTGGTATCCAATAAGTAATAAACACCTGGAGATTTAACATTGTTTCATATACATTTCATAAACTATCTTCTTTATAGACTACTGTCTTTGTTCATTTTAACCAATGCAAGGGTTGCCAAAGAATACCCTCAGATCTAATCTGGCCAACCACCTGATTTTTATAGGCCACACAATAAAAGCAGAACTTACAATGTGCATGTGTGCAGGCTTGCATATACATATGCACACATTGTGTGCACACATATAGGCACTTAAGGGTGTATGATCACTTGAAGGGTTGTATATGTGCATGCTTGTATAAATGGAGACTAGAAGTCAACCTATGTCAACCTACGTTTTTTCAGACAGTCTCCCACTGAGAAACAGGTTTTGCTAATTTGTCTAAACTGGCTGGCCAACAAGTCCCAGGCATCTGTCTGCTTCTGCCTCCCAGCACTGCAATTCCAAGAGCACATCACACTCATCTCTTTACACAGGCTCACCTTTAACTTCAAGACTTAGAAGGCAGAGGCAGGTGAATCTCTGAGTTTGAGGCCAGCCTGGTCTACGAAGAGAATACCAGGACAGACAGCACTACACAAAGGAACCCTGTCTCAAAAAAACAAAACAAAACACATGATCAAAGGCTAGAGTCACGGATACAGAACTTCACTATGAGGCCCTGATTCAATTCCCAGTATCGAACCCCTCCCCTCACAAAAAAATCAATTTTACAGAAAAGTTTGTTTGCTTCAGCAAGTTGTTTATAACATAACACTGACCAAATATTTCATTAATATTTATCAAGTGCTCCCAGAAACATTATTTTGTACAAATGGTATATAGTTTTATGTATAGTCTTCTATTATTTGCTAATAAGGAATAAAATTCTCAGGAAATTCAAACATTAATGTAGCATTTTACATAACAAGTTATGATTTTGTAATCTATAAGCAACAAGTATTTTAATGTAATAAGAAAGTGCTGGAAGTGGTGGCACAAGCCTTGAATTCAGGACTGGAAGAGGCAGGTAGATCTCTAAACTAGAAGCCAGCCTGATCTACAAAAAGTTTCAGGACAGTCAGGGCTGTTACAAAGAGAACCCCTGTCTCAAAAAAACAAAAAGAATGCAAGTACCGTTTACTGTTCCTTTAATCATATTTGCTATTATGTGTGATGGGCAGACACAAACTACAACACTTCCCACTCTGAAACAAGCAAAACTGTCTAATGTTGCCAAACATCTTATGAGTGCTGAGATCAAAAACCAAAGGTCTTCAAACAATCGTGACTACCTATGCTGGCTAGATTTTTCTTCAACTTGATGAAAGCTAAAGTCAACTGAGAGAAGGTAACCCCAATTGAGAAAGTCTGTAGGACATTTTCTTAATTAGTGATTGATGTAGGAAAGCCCAGTCTATTGTGGGTGGTGCCACGCCTGGATTGGTAGTCCTGGGTACAATGATCACTGAAATTTTCAGCAATCACCTACAAAGCCTATAATCCCGGCACTGAGGTTGGAGACAAGATAAAAAATTCAAGGTCAGCCTTCACTAGATGCTGATATCAAAGCCAACTTATTTTTGGATAAGACCCTATCCAAAAATAAGCCATAAAATGAAACAAACAGCAACAAAAGTAATATAATAAATAACACCAACCTATACTTATCATCTAACTTTAACTGCTATCAACTTAAAAGGCTTTTAGGGGCTGGAGAGGTGGCTCAGCAGTAAACAGCACTGCCCGTTCTTCAAGAAGACCTGTGATTAAGTCCCAGAACCCACCTGGTAGCTCACAACAGTCTATAAATCCAGTTTCAGGAGACTAGATATAATCTTCAGGCCTCTTGGGAACCAGGCTTGCACAAGGTATATAGCACACATGCAGACAAAGCATCCATACACATAAAACAAAATTTCAATTTAAAAATATGTTTTAAAGGATATTTAGTGAAGTTTGTATAAGAAATTTTTAAAGAAAATATGTTTCTTCAAACGTATTTTCCTTAAATGGAAGCATGTTTTCCTGAAATCAAGTGACAGGCTCTCAGTTATCAACACTTTTGTCTTCTTAATAGAACTCTGAACCTTTGGAAGCACAGGTTCCATAGTAATTTTACAAAAAAATTTTTTGTGGTAAAAGAAAAAAACAAAAAAAAACCAACTTTATCCTAGAATTCTAAAGTTAACAATTTTACTAAAATAAATTTAGAAAAGGTCTCAATAAGAGTACTTACCTGTGGCAAGTACATGTTCAGTCAGTGAACAAAACTAATGTAGTACAGTGCTTTTAACAGCATGACTATTGCTACAGATTCTGTGGACTATCACCACAATTGGGCAGGACTTAAATATCTACTCTCTCACAGATACTTACTAATTAGTTTTTCCAGTTTCCATTACTGCTAAGTCCGTGTTGCATGCAGCTGGTGTCCCCACCTAATACATCGACATACTACCAAAACTAGCTTTCCTTTGCTTTAAAGTAACCATTCTGACTCCTAAAGCTCCTTTATCCTGAGCCCCAGTCCCACATCTCCTTCCTGAATCCAAGTACATGCTCGGACCCCAGCACTGACAGGAAGACACTATATAAAATATTTTGATTTAGTCAGGCACATAAGTAAAAATAAAATGAAGTCAGGCAGTGGTGGCATGCACCTTTAATCCCAGCACTTGAGAGACAGAGACAGGCAGGTCTCTGTGAGTTCCTTGGTCAGCCTCATCTACAGAGTGAGTTTCACGACAGCTATAGCTATTAAAACAAACAAACAAACAAACAAACAAACGAAAAAACCCAAAACCTGTCTCAAAAAAATTACTTTTATTCACATATTGTTGTTTTATATTAACACAGATAATTTAGAATAAACCTTAATGAAGCTACCTCAGTTAGCTAGTTAGCTGCCCATCAGTGCAGGAAAATATCTGCCCATCAGTTACAGTTGATTAACTAAATTTAGTGTTTTTTAAAATATATTTCGACTAAGAATTTAATTACTCAAATTACAAATATGCTCCAAATTAACCATCTTCCATAAATCAGCTATTTGAAAAGCTAATAGGGTGCCAGTGAAATGACTCAGCTGTTGTGAGATATTTTGATCACACCCACGACTGTCAATAAAGTTTATCTTTGGATCAGAGGGCAGAGCTACTAAGCAGACCAAAATTAGCCATAGAGGTCTGGAGGAGCAAAGACATATAGAGATACACAAGAAGTAGTAGGGTGGGGCTCAGAAAGTTTCTTGGTCCCTTCTGGATGAAGGAAGGACAGAGATAGGCCGTCACTGGTCACTTCTCCACAGCTTCTCTGATCACTCAAATTCTTACCCTAATATCTGACTCCCCAGTTTTTATTGAAAAAGAATAATTAAATAAATACTTCATCTGGCATCCAACACGGGGCACAAGATCATAATGCAGCAGCTCACTGCTGGCTTTGTAGTCGCCAGAATCACCACCAAGGCTGGCTTTCCCTCCCTCCTCCAAGCCCTCTGCTAAAGCTGGGATTTTCCCATTGCAGCCTCTCTACAGCAGACTGCAGCTGCCTCCTGTCCCCTGCCCCAAACACCACAGGTGGCTAGGTCCCAAATGCCACCAGAGTTAGCCTCCCACAGCTGGCTGTCTCTGTCATTCAGGTGGCCCTATGCCCTTGCTTCTCTCATGCAGGCTTCTTCCGCACATTCCCATGTCTGCTTTACAGGCCACTGGCTCCCTCTACCCATGGGTTGCAGGCTTCTCCTAGTTCCCCAATAGATGGTTTGAAAATGGCAAAATTAAATGAAGGGATGTTAGCCTCATGGGACCTCCTGCAGGCAATCATGTCAAATTTGGTACAATCATTCCATGTCAGTATTGGGGAAACTTATCCACAAAGCAATTAAAAGACTTAATGCCAATTGTGAAGAACCATACTGCTCTGGAAGAAAGACAGTTTCAGTAGATAAAAAAAAAAAAAAAATTTCAGAAAGACCATAAAACAAGTATTTTGGCAACTCCTATAAATTGCAAAGACCAAAGCTAAAAATACAAATAAATGGCATTGTGATTGAATGTTTATTAGACCCAGGCACAGATGTAACAATAATTTCACCAAAATTTTGGCATCCAGATTGGTCTCCTCAGGTGGTAAATATTCAGCTTCTAGAGATTGGAACTTTATCTTGGGGTAAGATGGGTTGAGGCTATACAGCCATAAGACAGATAGGAAAATAAAAGCCATATATGGCCAACATAGAAATATATTTATGGGGTCATGATTTGTTATAACAACGGAAAACCCATATTAACATTCCTCCAATGTCAGAAACAAATCATAAAAAAAAATGCTTCTAAGATAAATATTAAAAGATACTATCAAGAATAGTCCCCAACCGTTCTTGTACATAAACAAAACACTACAGCTATTGATCTTTCAAAGGTACCAAGAGCCCTACCTTTAAAATGGTTAACTGTGTAGGTGGAACAATGGCCTTTGATATCAGAAAAATACACGCATTAGAACAGCTGATACAGAAGCAGCTAAATGTTCAACATATTAAAGAATCAACCAGCCTTAGAATTCTTCTATAGTTGTCATTAAAAAGAAATCTGGAAAATAGAGATTAGTAACAGATCCAAGAGCTATTAATAAGGTAATTCAACCAATGAGCTCTTTATAGCCTCAAATTCCCTTGCTTTCATTATTATCTAAAGGATGGGCTATTATAGTTATTAACTTAAAAGACTTCCCTTTTACTATACCTTCACAAGAGCAGGACAGAAAAAATTTGGCCTTATAGAGCCTACGTGTAATTTCCAGCCTGTTAAAAGGTTATCAGTGGAAAGTTCTTCCATAAGGGATGTTAAACAGACTTACCTTGTCATTATTTGTACAAGAGCTGTTGTAAATAATTCATAGTTTCCTCAATCTAAAATTTATCATTATATGTGTAATATCTTACTAGTTAATTCAGACTCAGATACCTTAGAAAAAATGTTTGAAG